AATAATAACTTTATTAAATTAAGATACAATATATTCACAATATAACATTTAACAATTCATTAACAAAATAACATAAAAATTAATGATTTATATATAAGTTTAATATTGCATCAATATGGAATAAATACAACTTTTCACATACTTCTTATAACATCAAACCAACTTTTTTCAAACAAAAGAGTTTGTACTTAGAACCATACAGTAAACAAACAAAATCGAACGCACTTGCAGCGTATAAATGTGCGGCCAGCTACTCCGCACACAAAGCTGCTATTATTTGCTGAAGCAACAGCTAAAAGAGGAGAGACAAAATTTGAAAAAAATGTGTGGTGATGTGAGCTGCAAACTTTAGCCGCATATCTAACCGCTTCGGCAAGTCAACATGTTGAATTTTTATACATGCAGTTGATATTCGAATAGAACAGAAAATTACTCTCATACAATTCCCAATCTCTATTTCTCATATTTCAAGCTAGAGCACACGCACATTATTTTGTTCATTCTACTTTTGTGCACACTTATGACAGAAATTTATGAATGCAAATGCGTAAAGGGGAAAGACGAAATATGATAGAAATGTTTTGCGATGTGAGCTGCAAACTTATGAACACAACCAACGACTATTGTAGCTAAGAGAAGCAAATTAATTGAGTTTTCATAGACAATTATATTTAATTGTTTTTGCTAAAACTTTAATCTTTAAATATATATATATGAAAATGTAATTAATAATATTAATTCTGGATGCAAAGATATTTAATAAATTTATATATATAATGTGATAATTTGCAAGTTATGTTAGGGTGTGCACCGCACACCTCCGCTCCTTAGAGCAATCGTCACTGCTCCATACACATGTGATGATCAAGTCATTTTTCCCATTTAACGCTCTTCAAAAAATGTATCGTTTTTAAGGCTGTGTTGTAAGAAATGAGCTCTATCTTATGAAAAACAATGCATTTGATCTTTCATGTCTTACGTTGTGTATATTATGTTATAACCAATCAAGTTTTTTATGTTCTATCGTTTACATTTTCTACCTTCGCTATATCTATGACAAATAATTTAATTAGATATAGCTATACTGGGGAAGGAACCTTTTCAGCAGATTTTTTCAATTCCATCTGCATTGATGCATTGATATAGCTTAATTAACAATTTTAACTGATTTTTATTATAACGCTCAGCAACTGCTATAACGTTTTCCGAATTATTCTAAAACTTACAACCATCCTTTTGAATTATCGCTTTCAAACCTTTATCAGTTAAAACGGTTGTAATGACAATATGGGTTCCCTCTAATTGTTAACTGTGTCAATCAAAATTGTGCCAACTCTATAAATTTAAAGCTGATTATCATCAGCTTGAAGTTGCTGATGATGCTTTTCGTAAGAACTTTGTGCCTGAATCACTAAATCAAAAATTGCTTTCATCATTCCATATTTAGTTTTGCAATTTGCACTATTTTCAATTTGTTTGACTTTTCACTTTTCTGTTAAAGTTTTGCTGTTAACTGATTAAGTTTTGAAATGTAAATTAGTTAATGTATATGTAACGAGTGTAAATAAGGTAAACATAACAGTATTACTATGAGAAATTAAAATTGAAGGATTGTGTAAATTTAATAAATAGAATTAATTCTGTAACTTTAAAGATATAAAATTAATAGTGTCCGTACCATTTGATGTATTTATTTTCATAACGAACATTATTTTAAATTTTTTTACTAGTTTAAATTTTATATATTCAATAACTAGATCGGAGCGGTCAATAGTACGTGTATCAATTTACCAAAGTAGTGAACCTAAGCAGATCTGGCCACCCAATTTATTAATAAGAAACGATCAATCAGACGCAACAAATAACAACTACAGCTGTATATTTGAAAACATTATGACTGCAGCGTCAACAATGCCTAATTTCGATAGACAGCAAAGGTATATTTATTATATATCGTTCTTTGTATCAATATTATTTCATATCATTTGCAGCACTGACTCCGGATGGGACAACCCTTTTCGTCCTGGTGGTGACTTATCACGAGAGGCAGATGAAATTGTTAATATGATAACAGGTCATTACGTTTGTTTTTAAATGTTTGATTATTAAAAAAATAATTTCTTTAATAATTCAGGGGGTAAGCCTATTACACCAACGGGCGATCACACAATAGTAAACGGAAATGCACAGAGGGAAGAAATCGGCAATGGAACACCTTTAACAGAAACTATAACAAGATCAAATGTAAGCAAACAAAAAATTATTGAAGTGAATAGATGAATAATTAAAATATTTAAAATTGAACAAATTTTTAGTAAGCAAAATGTAAAGCAAAATATAATTACCTTCAAGTTATGATATACAGTATGTCAAGAATGAGTTTACACATTGAAATAAAATTCACTTTTTTAATTTCTAGTCGCAAAAACATTGCTTTTTGTTTAAATATTAGCAACTGGTTAGTTGCATAGTTGATTAAAAAACTTCATATAAAAAAATTTCCATTTTGATGGTAATCTGTTGTTTGAACGTCCCAAAATGCGTAATCCGATTAATTTTAATTTAATTAACAGTGAAATACTCAAATATTCGTAAATTTTAATATCTTTTAAATTTATCATGTAATTTATCATATAACTAAAATTGCAAACGTGTCATATATCAAGAGGTAGAATATTCAATTTTTTACTTTTTAATTATATTTTTTTCCTTTTAAAAATTATAGTTTTACTGAATTTTATTTATTAATTTTTCTTATTATTTTTTCTTATAATTTTCTTTTTGAGACACCCTATGCTCATAGTGCCGACACTTAGGACTGGCAGCACTATTAATCAAATTTTCACTAATCTGAGAATCTCCGAAATAGTAGATTCTCTGCTTAATTTCTTTTTTGTATGCAATTTTTTGTCATCTACTACATCATTTTTTCACTGTCAAGTAACTGTTTATACAACTTGTGTTTTTCCATTATTTTGCATTATTCAAACGATGTGCGGTAAATTTACCGTGATAATTACCGTGTTGATTCTTAATTAATTATTGTTTTCTAATTTTTTTACTTCACTAACTAAAATATCAATATTTTGAAATGTAAGATGAAATGTTATCGTTTTTAGTGGAACAGTTCAGGTATTATACCCGCCACTTAGAAAAAAAAAATTTATATTTAAAAAAAGCACTATTTTTGAGACTAGAAATTAAAAAAGTGAATTTTATTTCAATGTGTAAACTGATTCTTGACATACTGTACATATATTTCGTTATCATTGAAATTCAGTGTGACTAATAAAATTAACGTGTATGAAAAGATATAATTAATTATATTACAATTTTTTTTCTAAGGTTAACCAATCGCAATCAGCATATAAAGATACAAATTATCATAATGTACCAGAAACAACAAAATTATCTGGAAACAATGGTGTTACATCCTTAACTCAAGTCTCAAAACAAGTAGTACCTGGGCCTATTTTAGCTAGTCATGTTGTAATTGACGAAAAGAAGAACGCGGGAAAAGGATGCTGTATTATTCAATAAGAACTGTTTTAACAATATATGATTATTTTTATTAATATAATATTTAGTTCATTGGAGTATTTTCGCTTACTAAATTATTACATTTAAAAATAGAAATATATTTTCATTATGAGAACAGATATTGAAAATACAAAATCGCATTTAGATACACACATTAATATATATTATTAATTGGCATGTTCTCACTAATTTATATGTATGAGATATATGGAAATAGCTATATAAAGTAATAACAATAATAAACCAATATTGGATATTGTAAATATCAAATACATTAATTTTATTTTAAAATCTATAGAATAAAAATTAATAGTTTTTTGTAAGGAAGCATATCTCTTTAAACTGGCTCGACTGATGTAAATAATTTCGTAAAAAAGTTTTGTTATAAAAAATTATGCAAAAAAGTGAAAATATCTGCAAATACTATGACATTTTTTGTACAGGATGTTTATGTTATAATTCAAATTTTCTCCTAAACCGCTGAATTGGTTTACATGACACTTGTGCTACGTAATCATAAGTTCATTCGTTTGTATAAAGCCACCGAATATAACCTATTCCATATTTATCAACAAAATAACTTTTAATATGAACTTTTCTGAATATTTTTACGATCTGCATAATATTTATACTAAATAGGAAGGTGGAACGTAGTCTATTACCTATTTTATAGCTTACGTAACGTAGTTCCCTAAACTGATTTACATGCAATTTATGGTATGTTATCTTTATATAAAGCTACCGAAGAAAGGATATATAATTTATATTTCGCGTGAATATTTAAGGTCACCTCATGCAGTTCTATGCTTTGTTTTTCTGTATAGCCACAGAAACTCCCAGACACACTTCAAACAAACTTTTCTTATATACACATAGCAGAAGAAGTCTGCGTTGACTCACAAAATATTTCTTAAATTTAGCATAACTTACTTTATTTTTACTTTAATTGATTTTTGTTTTCTGATTTATTATAACCAAAAAACCATCAATGAAGTACAAACATAAAAATTAAAGGTTATTCTTTAAAACAAAATTAAACACAATTGTATGCAAAAGCAACAATTTTGAAAGCAGAAAAAGTCTGCGTTCATTTCTTAATATTTATATTTATTTATTTAGATTTTTATTCGCTTGCAAGCATAATTATGTAATTAAATGATATTTAATTATCAGTTGACTTACTAAAGAGTATAAATATTGATATTACCAGTAAATTTTTAAAATGGAAAATAAAAGCCGTGAAATTAGAATTAGTGAGCGACATATAACTGTTCACTGTCGGATAGATGGCATCGGCCAACGAAAAATTGCTAAAGATATTGGTCATTAATATTCATCAATATATATTCATTCAATATATATTCAACAATATTCATCAAAAGTTATAAATAACATCAAGGAGACAGTTAATTACGTTTCTTAACCTCGCACAAGTCACCCTCAATTCTGTCAGATAGAGAACGACATGGAAATTTTGCACAAATTTCCAACCTACATAAATTTAAATAAATTTCAAAGAAATCTGAAATTAAAATAGAGGAATTAACATTTAACATAGTTATTAGAAACTACTTATCAAAAAGCCACCCAGCCTGCATGCAACTACAACACGTGAAGCAATCAGATATTAGGAGAAAATAAATTCGTAATAAATAGAGAAATATACCTTAATAAAATAATAAATACATACCATCTTTGTTCAGCCCCGCAAATTTATTTAAATAATTTATTAATAAATTCATCGAGCAGGATAATCACCGAAATTATACTAAGGTACAACCACGAAACCGGATCAGCCACCACAGAGAACTCTACAGAGACAGCTTCCAAATACAGCTGGTCACAAGAAAACATCTCAAGTCATATCTAAATAAATTTAACCAACCTCTTTGAAATACGACTAAGGAAATACATTCAAAATTTGCATGCGTTTAAAATCTCAAGTTATAGAAATACGATTGAAGGAATAATAATCTACATAAAGCCATCTTATATAAATCTTTGGAAATTATACAAATTGTTAATCTCAAGGTTTTATCTTATTTTTTTTGTTTTAAATTATTTATAATATAATTTTATAATTATAAAAAATAATTTATTAATAAATTATTTAAATAAATTTGCGGGGCTGAACAAAGAAGGTATGTATTTATTATTTTATTAAGATATAGTTCTCTATTTATTACAAATTTATTTTCTCCTAATATCAGATTGCTTCACGTGTTGTAGTTGCATGCAGGCTGGGTGGCTTTTTGATAAGTAGTTTCTAATAACTATGTTAAATGTTAATTCCTTTATTTTAATTTCAGATTTCTTCGAAATTTATTTAAATTTATTTAGGTTGGAAATTTGTGCAAAATTTCCATCCTTACATTTTCCTCCTTCTTCGAAGAAAATGAAAATGAACTTGCCACGAGGCACTACCTGTCTGCATGAGTCCTGTGCCGTTTCTTTAGGCTCTTGAATAGAACATGAGCTCTTACTCGCTTTATTTTGCTTCATTAAAGATTTAAGAAATACCGTGTGTAATTTCCTAGATTATTCGATTTCATGATATTGTTTAATTTCGTTGACGTGTACTGTTTTAGTAGCTTGTGTTGCTACGTCTTCTACTACCAAAATCACTGGGGACTTAAAGCACCTTACTATGTATGGTCCCCGGGTTGCAAGAAAGAAACCATTCATATCCAGATAAAATATAAAAGAAACGATTAAGCTTTGCAAGAGAGCATGTAAATAAACCTGCAAAAATGCCAGATTATTAGAGTTTGAGGCAACCTTTTTGTTTCACGTCAACGTCAACGACTCTACGCATATGTGACAGTAGCGGTCGTACGAGATTGACAGCTGTACCATGCTCCCAGGCAACTTCGAACACCACCGCAATCACCAGAACTTAATCCAATAGAACATCAATGGGATTATTTGGAAAAAAAGATTTGCCAGCACACGATTCCCAGTAAGGATATGTTATAAAACGTCATCAGGGAAGAATGGCAAAAAATAAAGGCACAGGATACTGCAAAGCTGCTTTAGTCCATGCAAAGACGTCTCAAAAAGAGGTTATTAAACACAGACGTTATTCCGTAGGCTATTAAATTTAAGATTTTGTGAATACTAATTATTTTAATTTAAATATTAAAAAGTAAACGCTGTCTCTTTCTGCTTCAAAAATTATTGCTTTTGCATAGAATTGTTTAATTTTGTTTTAAAGAATAACTGTTATGTTATTATGTTTAAACTTCATTGTTGGCTTTTTGGTTAAAACAAATTAGAAAATATAAATCAATTTACGTAAAAATTAAATAAGTTATGCGGAATTTAAAAAATATTTTATGAATAAACGCAGAATTTTTCTGCTATGTGTACGTACATACGCTTCTGTGCAGTTAAAACTTTTTACGAAAAAATTAAATCTTATTTATTTAAAGTAAACGTTTTAATGGCGATGCTTAGTTTTTTTAAATAATTTTGGTGATTATAAAAAAATAATTTCTATAATAACTAATTAAAACTAAACTCAAACAAAAAACACAATTTACTTAAGACTGAATCGAGAATCTTACATTAGCAGTGTTAGTAATCAATCATATTTTTCATAAATGCATGCAATGACGAACATAATTATTGGCACAACAAGCAAAAATGTTTTTTAGATAAAATGCATCATTTACAATTAAATTCATTCTTTTTTTTACAATTAAATTCATAATATTCAATATTTAATTAAAATTCAAAAACCAAAAAAAGTACTAAATTAGGGTGAACTAAATTATTGGCACACCTTATACACAAATTAAAAAAAAATTATTTAAGGTAACAATTAATTTTTAGTGGCCAAGCCTTTTTGATTAATAATAGCTTCTGGTTGCCAAAAAAACTAATTTTTTTGAGGTTTTTGATTCAATGTTTTGTCACTCTTCGAGCATTGCCACTTTCAGTTCTGCCTTTATTATTATGGGCTTTTTTAAACGTCTATCCGATTTTTCCCAGTAATGTTGTATGGGGTTGAGATCTAGCGGATCGGGTGGATGCGAAAATGTGTGTTTTACATGATGCGCGAGCCCTATATGCACATCATAAGCTGTATGTTTCAGATCACTATCGTATTAGAAACTGAACATGTCTGGTTAACTCACTTTATTTAATATTTCTCTTGAGAATGTTTATATAATATTCCTGAATGAATGAACTTCAATTCGCCGAAACGGCGACATCACTCATCACTCTACAGTCCAACACGTCATGATATAATGTATTCTTCATAACACAAATACTAACTGGAACAGTTATCGTCAAGTAATTACAATTGGTCTAAATATCAAACTCCGATTGAAAACTGAATCTAATTTAGCTGAAGCAGTACATTAAACTCATGTGTCCAAATGTCAGCCTGTGCATAAACTCCACTGTTTTCTAAAAGTGGTAAGCAAGAATGTCTTTTTAACATTAGATACTTAATCAAAGAAAAGTGTATAATGAAAAAACGTTGGCAGAGGGCGAAATACAAACTACTCCCTTTGGAAAACCATAAAATAGAATAACAGATCGATCGCTTATGAACCACTCATAAGTTTATGGAGATGAGCAATTCGGTTTTAAAACAATTAACACATTTGACAATATTGTTTTTGCACTCCTTATGTGAAGGCTTCGCGTACCCTCGCTATATGGTTAAACCCCCATCACTTATATCACCTCATAACCTTTAAACTTTCATATACCACGCATCTATCTCATTTGATTTTGATTCGGCGTTCTTTCATAAATGGCTTAAAACCTTGCTATCTATTTCAACAATTGCATCAACTGTTTTTTTACTTTTATTTGACTTATAGACTTTAAATAGTTTATTATTTTGAGCCATAATACTGTACTATGAGTACTAGGTCCTCATTAAATAGCTTTTCACTAATACCCGAGATAAATAATTTGGGGTATCGAAGCGCGGGTGTTTCGATTATATATTGGTCACTTATTTTTTTTCTTAATGTCGGCAAGAATTTCACGTTCCTTTGAAGTAACACATTTAATAGTAACCCCCATTACTTTTAGCTCGAAACCCGTTAACTTTAACAATTTT